CATGCTTTTCTTCTTCAAGGGAGAGGAGGCCCCAAGCCACCACCCTTGAACTTCACCCCTTTCTCAGGTGCAGCACCACCTGATGACCCCAGACCAGACTGGAGTCAGGAGCCTGCATGGCCTGGGGAACTCTGAAAGGAAGATTGAAATCAGACTCAGACATCCTGGAAAGGTCCCTAGAGACTGGACACTCCTTCTCTCTCCAGCCCGGCCCAAGCCTGGACCATCTTGGGATGTTGAAAGTCCATACTATTTTGACAGACAATAGCACCTTCCCCTCCCTCACTCCTCACTGGCCTCCATCCCAATGCAGAATTGCTGCAGGTTGGTGGTTCCAAAAAGGAACCCATGTTCCTCCAGGGAAGCCTCTGTCTGTGTACCCCAACAAGCCCCCCCATGCCGCAGCCACCTTTCCTGCACCTTCTTACATGCTCAGAACATGGTGGTCCCGGTACCCCCACCCCGGCAGCCCCCAGCCAACGCCCACGGGCACGGTCCAGGCAGTGGGCTCCGCTCTGCTAGAGCTGGGGCTCGCAGGAATGAATTTACTTACAACTCTCAAGGCTCATGTCCTTTGTTCCCACCCTTCACGACTCCCCATAGCATGCCAAATAATACCCCGTTTTATATGGAAAACACTAAAATAGGATCACACCTTTTAAAAGATATTTCCACCTCGCAGCCTGAAATCAGACTTCACCTCTCTCCCGTTCCCTGCAACCACCACGCCAGCCCCCTCCCTGCACGAATGCACAAGCGCCTGCACACGCACACACACGCACACACACGCACACACATGCACACACCCCGTTTCGCTACCAGACTTCCCTAAGCCACTTTAATTGAAAAGGCATGATTTAGGCTAATTGACAGCAGATGGGTTCGGCTGCAAAATGCAGAGAAGCATTTGTTGAACATGATTTACAGCAACGAGGCAAAACTTTCTCCTTTTTATATCTTTCTTCAAGCTCCGAGGCCAAAACAGCTCAGCAGAAATGAGAGGAGAAAAAAAAGTAATTAGTGTTTAATTTTTTAACAATTTTTAACTCCCTTTTTAATTGCTTTACATAAACCTGTCCTAGAATTTTACAGCCTTCAAATCTCTGTCTAAGTCTGGTCCTTGTTTCTGGTTTTAATTACAGGGAGGCTTGTCTGGCACATTAAATTAGAAGAAAGGAAAAAAAAGGCACACACAATTTCAGAAATATTTTGCTGTTGGACTCCCAACTGAACATCTAATATTTCAGCGTGCCAATGGGAAGGCACTACCAGGGAGGGCTTTGGTAGGAGAAGATGTGGACCAAGTGCTTCTGCGACATTGCTACATTGACCAAAAACTGTCTCTTAATGTCACTAGGGACAAGGGAAAGAGCAGTCAGGAGGCAGCATCTGATGGGCCATAGTGGCCCTGGACGTTCTGTGTTGGTTTCAATGTAACCAGTTTCCCACAATGGCTGGGTGTGTACAGACTTTTGCAGGCTTTGGTCAGATTTTAGGTTCTTATTTCAAAGCCAGGCGGTTGGATCTCACGCTCGCTTCTCAGCAGTCCACTTGAAGCAGGACGGCCGCCAGAGAGCAGCGCCATGCGTTAAGAGACCAAGCAGGGCTCGCCGGAGAGGGGAGAATCCAGGTAGCAGATTCAGGGCACAGGACTGATTCCCAGGTGGCTGCTGGCATCCGAGTTTGCATACTATTCACAGAGAGAGGTCAAGCAAAGTCTGGTCTTGCCCTGACCAAAGGAACTTTCTGTGCTTTCCAACATGGGAGCCACCAGACTGCACGTGGCTATTTACATTTGCATAAGTGAACATTAAATACAATTTAAAATTCCCTTCTGCAGTTGCAGAAGCCACATTTCAACAGCTCAGTAGCCTCACGAGGCTAATGGTGACATAACATATGCAACAGCACAGTAGGGGACATTTCCATCTCTGGGAAAGTTCTATTGGGCAGGGCTTAGATCTTTGCCTGGGACCTTTGAGATTGAAAGTGTGGTCTGAGGTTAGCAGTGTGGTCATCGCCTGGGGGCTGGTTAGAAATGCAAGATCGGGAGTTGCATCCAGGCCTGCCCACTGTGAATCTGCATTGTCACAAGACCCCTGGTGACCCCAGTACCTGTGACGGCATGTGGCCTGCCGGCTGGCGAGAATAACATCTCAGAATGTCCCAGCGTAACCTGGAAGAGCCCTTCCAACTTGCAGATTGCATGGGACCCTCTGGGTGGGGGAATTGTGGCCCGTTTCTCTACTTCTTGAAGTTTCTTTGTATCTTCTGGATTTCTGCGGTTACTTTTATTTTAAAGAAAAAGCCTAAGAAGATTATTTTACTAATGCAATGACTTTGTAAAACATTGTCCCAGCAGGAATATATAGAATTCCTTGGATCCAAAGCCCTACCTGCCTTTAACGTGGAGAGCCAGCATCTGCCCCACTGACACGGGGACCTGCAGGGGAAGAAGGTCACGTCCCCAAAGCAGTGGTTGCCTGGGGTCGGGAGCAGGGCAAAGGGGGCAAGTTTTCTCTTCCAGGTGAGCCAGCAGGCAGGGGAGGGCATGAAGATGGGAATGAGGGGTGGCATGTCACAAAATGTCCTCAGGACATAAACCCTGCAGGGCCCGGCCCCCTCCCCCCTGCTTGAGTTCGTTAGCACAGGGACCCCCTTGGCAGCTCCTGCCGGTGCCTGCCCACCCTGGGTTCCTCAAGGACCCTGCTGGGGGCCGGAGGGCTGCCTGGCGCCACTGGGCGAGCGACTTTGGGGATGGAGCCAGGCCAACACCGGCTCCCCACACATGGTCATTACCTCCCGAAAACCCAGGAGTTATTACAATTAAAACACATTGCAGGGGGGAGCGAGGGCTGGGGGAGGTCCCTTTAGGAAGGAACACTGGGATTAAAAGAAATTAGAGTGGTTGTCGTGGCAACACAGCCGGGCCGGGCCTACCCTGTGATTATTTCAATGGGAACAAGGGGATGAGGGCAGAGCGGGGCTGGGGCGGAGGGTGCTGGGGAGGCACATGCCGGGCTGCGCGGGCGAGAGGTGTGCTTGCCCTCGGGATGGGGCAGCGGCCGGGAAAATCCTCCTGAGGCCGAGTCTTGCTGGCTTTCCCGTTCTCTGTAGTGACCGCCTATCCCACGGAGCGCAGGGTCAACGGCCCTCTGTTCTCCAGGGGGCCCACACTCCCATCCTCCTCTGCGATCCCTTTCTTTTTAAAGTAGGAAAGCCCCAAGAGGGCCCCATCTCTCCGGGCGTCGTGGGCGGAATGGCCTGGCCTGGGTTCCTGTGCGTTCAACCTGCCGACCAGGACCCCCCGGGGGAAACCCAACCATCTCTGTTTCTAGGTGGCCTGGAAGCAACCTGAAACAGAACGCAGAGGTGCGTGTGCAGGAGGGGCCGAGCGACAGGCAGTGGGAACGTTCTGGAAGCGGGCCCATGATAATGAGCACCACGGAATCTGGTCTGGGAGGCCTCCAGGTACCAGCGCGGGATTAGGGTCTCTACAGAGCGGGAATCCCAGTTTGGCAGAGCGAAGGGGGCCTGCAGAAGAGAAAACAGTAATTAGTTCTCCATCTTTCTGCTTGTCTCAGCAGCCCCGAGCAGGTCTGGCAGACGGGCGGGGAGAACCTGTTTGGAAACCTCTAGGGGAGAAGAGGAGGGTGGGCTGGGAGGGGAAGGGGAGTCCGGTCTGCAGCTTCGGAATGAGTTCTTGGCAAGTTCCCACCCGCCACCCCCATCTCACTGCCTGTGGTGCCACCTTCGTGGGACTAACAGCAGGGGAGGCTCAGAAACTCCAGACCGAACAGAGGAGCTTCAGGTGTACCAGGCTGGCCCTGCACCTAGGTTAATCTGACTGGGGACAAATCCTTGTCCCTCCTTAGAACACAGAGCTGGAGATCTCTGAGCTACCTGGGCCCAGCCAGGAGGAGCTGTCTGGGAATATTCCCCTCCATATTGAAAGGTGATTATTCCCAGCCCCAGGGAGCCACTGGCAGTCATTCTGAGCCTTCAGGGAAGCTTTCGCTACTTGTATTTGCAAGGTCTTGGGTGTCTTCATGGAAAACATGGTCTTGGAGGTCTTGGAGTCTGGCCTAAGTACAAGACTTGTCCCAGCCACCGACTCCACATGACCTTCCTCAACTCACTCAACATCTCCATCTTCTTATCTGTAAAAGCATCATCTAATTTACAGTGTCACCATGAGGGGTGCAGATAATGGACTTACAATACCTGGCTCTAGGGCAACCAGCCATCCCAGTTGGTCTACGTCTGAGGGGACTTCTGGGGTGCAGGACTTTCCGTTTTAAAGTTGGACAGTCCTGGGCAAACAGGGACAACTTGGCCACCCTACCGGGCACAGAGCGTGCATGTATGAGGGGCCAGCTACTTTATGTAGGGGGCGTTATTCCTTTGTAAAATTCTTGACACGTGATGTGTGTATATATATATGCGCAAAAGTATTTCCACACTGACATACACGTATATGAATTTTCCAGAGAGCTCAGTCGGGAGGTAACTAACTAGTCACACTTCTAAAAGAATCTTCACCTAGCAAAGTGATCAAATGTAGAATCCTTTACATGAGGCTGGGGACTCTGTCCAGATGGAAAATTCAGAGAAACTAAGCCGGTGGGTCGGAAAGCAACGGGAAATGCATTTCTGAGATCCCCTCATTCCTGGGGAAACCCGGCACTTTCCGCAGATTGTTTTGCGGCCAGCCCTGTTGCGGGGCCCGGCGCACCTGTGCAGTGGCAAGAGACCCCACCGCCGTTTGTTTGGGGAAGTGCCGTCAGGCTTGGGGGGTGGGGGGTTTCAAAAGGCTCCGTGGTGTGATCCCGCTGGATGGGAGCTCCGACTTGGCGTTTGCTTTTCATCACGGGAGCAGTCTGTTTATTTTTCTGCCTTCCCCTCGGTTTAGAGGGTTCAGACTGCCCAGGTTTCACCGGCTCGGAAAAAGCTTCAGGTGGAGAACTCAAACGCAAATGAAAAACACCAACATCACATCGTCTCGCTGAAGGTTTTATTTTAACCACTTAGTTCTTGGAACAATGGGTGAAATGACACAGGAGGGGAGATGACAAGGGGATCACAATCCCCTCCCTGTACCTCCCCCAACCCCCATTTATTTCAGCTTGAAAACCCAGAGGTGATTGCCTTGTAAGGGATTTTTAGAAGCAGCGGAATGAATCGTGCAGAGCGGACCAAGTTGCAACCGGAGGTAGTATGCTACCCCCAGCTCCACCACAACCCAACCCCAGGCTGGGCTCCCTCATCAGTAGGTGCAAAGCCACCAGCTGAGCAAAGGGGGGGGCAGTGAGGACCCCAAGTCTGTCCCGTCCTCCCCTCTCCACCCCCCCCACCTGATGCTTTCAGGTGCAACCTGAGCCACGTGGCTCCAACCACAACGAGGGGTTTAATGAACTTCACTCACTCCCAGTCTAAATCGGGAAGAGAAAGGGGCCAGCTGGGAAAAACATCCTGTCTCCTCAAGGCGAGGTGACAGAGGGGCCAGGCACAGCCAGGGGGGAGGATATTTGAAGGTGCTGAAAAGGGAGAGCTCTCTCTTCTCGCCCATTGGAAGGATCAAAGTCCTTATCTAACAGAAGAGGCCAGATGGCCTGGAGCTCCAGGAGTGCAGGCTCCTCCGCCCTGGAATTCCAGCTTCCCTCTAACACGGTCCTACACCTCGGATTCCAGCGGGCCAGCCCCCTCGAGGCTAAGACTTGGAAGGAGGGAGCAAAGGATGCTGCCCGGGGTAGTCCAGACCCGCCAGGTGACATGGGGCTCTAGATACAGGGCGGTATGCGAGGCATTTGGCGGTGATGCCTGATTTTGTTATTTCTTGGACTGTTATTTGGTGAGAGGGGCCTTCAGCATCTTGGATGACTAAGGCTCAGTCCTGCTTGGAAGAGACACTGAACCAAAGGATTCCTGGTCACCCTGTACACCCCCATCTCTACCGGAGCCTCGTTGTGCCATCGAACTTACCAACCTCCTCCATGCCCTTTCTTCCTTCCCTCTCACTTCTTAGAAGGCAAGACTGTGCTTTCTTTTGTGCCTTTGTAGCCCACGCAGACAGTAAGCACTAAATCAATGCTTGCTTACAGAAGCAGGTTCTTTATAGCTCTACCATTATGCATGTCCCTGAGACACAGGCCAAATCCCGGAATCCAAGCGAAGCAGCCCCACCTCTCCCCAGTGCTCCCTGCTCCTCTTCCACGCATTTTCCCAAAGGGGGCTGGGAACCTGCCCCACCACTTTGCCACATCAATTCACAACAGCGACAACAAACACAAACAAGCCCCAGAGAAGGAAACGTAGCAAAGGCGGGGGAATAACCCAGAGGGACAAGGAGGAGTGAAATGTGCACGTGTGCACACAAAACGCGAGTTCGCATATCCCAAAGCCCCCTGGGCAGAAACCAAACAGGAAATCTAGAATCATTTCCAAATGCATTTCCCCAGCTTGCCCTCCCCTCCGCCCCTGGGGGTGGGGGTGTGGGGGGGTCAGGGATGCTCGGACTCAGTTCTTGGCCTGGAAGCCGCAGGAGGGCGGGGCTCTGATGGATTGACTGGCATTTCCTTCCCCCTCTCTCCCCTCCTGACCTCTGGCGAGGGCTTCACCCTGGATGGCCGGTGGAACGGGAAGGAAGCCTCTTGCCGTCCACACCGCCCAGGAGCAGTGGGGCTGGAGCTTTTCCACGCAGGCCTCCCACGGCGTTGGAGCAGAAGGTGACCGGCAGCTGGCCTCCCTCACCCCACTCCAGAGAGAGCTGTGTGATGACCCGGGGCTTGGGGTCGAGACCTCCTGCTCTTAAGAAAACAGATCCGAAATTTTGGCATCAAAATAAAATATGTGCAGAGGAAATAAGGAACCCTCAGAGTGAAACGCAAGCCACAAGATTGAATTAAAATATCCAGGCAGAAACTGGAGCCACAGTGACCATCGGTTCAAGTTCATCCCCCGTGGGATATTCCTTTTGCTCTGAGCTTGGCCGAGGATAGCGCCCTTGCTCTGTGCAAGCTGCCTTGACGATCCATCAAAGACCATCAAGCTGCTTCTGCAAAGGGGCCAGATAGCAACAGTAAATATCGTAGGCACCGTGGGCCATACAGGCTCTGTCGCCACTGCTCAGCTCTGCCCAGAGCATGAAAGTAGCCACAGATGATACGTAAATGAATGGACACAGCTGTGTTCCAGGGAAACTTTATGAAAACAGACAGCTGTCCAGATTTGGCTTATGGGCTGTATTTTCCCAACCCCTGGCATAGATCACGAAGGCAATAGAAGAATACAATGGTTCCAGCATATGGGCTTTGAAGTCAGGCAAACCTAGTTCAGATCTCTGTCCGGGACTTATTAGCGCTGTCATCCTGGGCAAGTCGCTTAACTCAATCAGGCTCAATTTCCTCATCTGCAAAACAGGATAATAATGCCTGCCTCACCAGGTTACTGTGATGATTACATGATCTAATGGAGGTAAAGTGCCTGACACTCAATAAACGCTGGCTGTTAATCATTCTCATTATGAGGAGACTTAAGTAGAGTCCAGGGGAGGTAACTTTGAGCCTCTCATTGTTATTAGAAGAACTATTGTTACTGGAAAAGCCCCCTGCTCACCTGGATGATGAGGCCCAGGCAGTGTTTTCTGTGCAGAAAGTCACTTAATAGTCCACGGATTCCCTTCATGATGCTAAATCAGTGGTTGCACATTAGAATCATCTGAGCAGCTTTTAAATCTCGCTGCCCAGGCCGGCTGCAGCCCGGACCAATTAAACCAGAAGCTCCAGGAGCGGGAGATACCTCCCGGCACTCGTACATTTCAAAGCTCCCCGGATGATTCCAAGGTGAAGCCCAAGCTGGAACGTGCTAGGTTTCGAGGATGGAAAGAACAGTCTTCGTGGTCCGCGCTGCTCAGGGTGTGGTCCCCGGACCAGCAGCATCGGCATCACTTGGCAGCGAGGGAGGCAGGCAGATGTCAGGCCCCAGCCCAGCCCTGCTCAGCCTGAGCCTGCGTGTCCGAGCGGGAGGGACACGGCTGTCCCACGGGGACCCACACTTGGCTGACTGTCAGTATCACCGGCAGAGCTTCAAAATTCTCTAGACTCTTATCACCAAATCACTGAATCACCATCATCATGGGTGGCCCAGGCATTGGCACTTTCCCTCCAACATTTTCTTTGAAAAATTTCAGACATGTAGAAATGTTGTACCCACACACGTACCGCCCAGATTCTGTGACTGTCACGATTTTGCTACACTGGCTTCATCACGGGTCTATGCCTTTATCCTCCATTTATCTATCCATCAATCCAACTCGGTTTTTCAATGCGTGTCAACGTAAATTGCAGCCATCGGGACACTCCATCCCTAAACACTTCAGTATGCACATTAATTTTTAACAAGGTCTCTCATTGATGCCTGGGCTGCAAACCCAGCATCCTACCTTGGGCATTTAGGAGTTATTAATCTACCCACAATCTCTCTGTCCCATGGGGACAGTATTTAGGCCTTGGTTAAAAAAAAAAAAAGCATTCTTTCCCCTCAGATTCTTAAAAATGTGGTGCTACGGCCTCTCAGTGCTATAACTTCTAGTATTAGATGATTTCTGGTGTTTGACTTCTTCCACGCTGCTCATTAATCTCATCTTCTTTTTCCCTTGGTGAGACCTCAGAGAATGGTCACACACCACTGTCTGCATTGGATCTCTATAGTATTTATTTAACGATGTCATTAAGTGTACTGGGCCATGTCTCCAAAATGTTCCCTGGTGTTTTCCCTCCAAAAAATACCTGCAGGCAAAAAAGTCTACAGTCTTCCAGCATTCCATCTGTGGAGACGAGTGGTAGGTCTTCCTCCACAGTTTCCAATTCTGCAGTCCATAACCTTTGGAGGGGTCTGAGGGCCGAGGTGCAGTCTCGCTGCTGGCGTCTGGGTTTGAGCACACCATCGAACAGACAGCAGCGGTTTCACTCACACCTCTGCCTTACCTTCCATCTTGAGTGTTCTTTTGACAGTTACCTGCCTGGTACAAAACTCCCAGCCCTGTGCGTCGGGGCTGATGTGAAGTCAAAACTAATGAGAGAGATTTTTCTGGCTAGTTTAACTCAGAAAGGAGGCTGGCCCTAGGCCACCAGGCAGGACCATCACCATCTGTTCCGATCAACAATTCAAGACCTATTGGGAAGGAGGCTTACTGTTCGACTATCGCACCCGGCTTTTTAGGAATCTTCTAGAATCCCAGAGGCGGGGCTGCAGTTAGGACCAACGCAGCCTGTGTTCTTCTGCTCCTCCCCAAGATACTTGGATAGTTGCCAAAGCCCTAGGGAAGAATTAATAGGAGTTATTGCCCCTGAAGAATCGCCCAACCATTTTTAAATGCTCTTTTTCAACAATCTAGGAAAGACGAGTCTCAGAGCGTGAACACGCCCAAGCCCCAAGTCTGCTCTATCTCACAGACAGAGAGATGGCTGGGATGGGAATAGGGCCCCAGGTCAGCTTTTCTACCTACAAACATGAACAGGCACATGGGTTCTTTAAGTCCATCCTTGCTCACTGTTTTCCAGACCACCCACTCTCTGTTTGCACTGGTCCTCTAACCTTGAAACCCGATACCCTCCTTTTAGGAGCCACCCATGTTTAAACAAATAAATACCCCAAAGTAACCCACTCCCTGGTGGTATTCAAATAAATGTCCCAGGAAGGTGGGTGGGGGAGGGGGTGCTCTGGGCCTTCTAGCCACCAGCCTGCCCCCAGCAGAGCATCCCTGGGCCGGGCTTCTGGGCAGGGCTGGCCCAGTGAGAGGGGCCAGGATGCAGAGGGAGGGCAGGGGAGAGGCTGTGGCCGCTGGAACTCAGGAAAGAGGAGGCAGGGCCGGTGGGTGGGGTCCAACCTTGGAAACCTGTGCAGAGATTCCCTGCAACTGGGTGTTACTCAGCCTTAAGCCTTTAAATCCCTCTGCCCAGGGAGAGAGAGAGCCAAGCACCATTTGGGTGGGTGGGTGGGTGTGCGAGAACAGGGCTTGGTTTCTGATGAGTCAGAGACACTTAAATATAGCCCAGAGTCTCGCCTGCAACTAGTGCAGCGGGAGAAACAGGAGCGAAGCAGAGACCCGCAAGTCAACAACCTCCTTGCTCTGACTCAGTGGAGAAAAACCACTGCAGTTACTCGGCTTCACGGAACGTGGCCAGCTTCGAATAAAGTCGCCGCCTTGTCACGAGTCCGCTGGTCAACGGAGTCGCTAATAAGAAGGATTTTTGAGCATAAGAGGGAACGGGGCAATTGCCTCTTTAAGAAAAACTTCGAGTAGCCGTGGCCTGCTAGGGAGGAAGGCAGCGGGGAAATGTGTCCACCCACTTCGGCCCAGGGGCTTATGGACGGCCAGGGACAGTGTGGACGAGACTGAGCTGGAACGCTGGCCCTGCCCCCTCCGTGTGTAGGAAGTGAGGAGGGAAAAGGAGACCACGTTTCAAAAATAAACACAAACCCCAAAATAAACACTGTTAATGGAAGTGACTAATCAAGGGTGTGCTGAACTTGGTGGTTCTTGATAAGATACAGGGGGAAATGCACTTGGAAAAACAGACCCCGTCCCCCCCTTTGGTAAATAAAGTGTCGGGGAGAAGGTGGGGGGACTCGGGCTAGGACTTGGCTCAACGCTGCAGCAGAGGCTGGAAGCACGATTTCTCGACCTCCACACTGTGACGTTGGGCTGGATCCACACTTTATTGTGGGGGCTTGCCCCGTGCTTTGTAGGTTTGTTTTTTTAGCAGCATCCTGCTAGGTGCCAATTGTACCCTCTCCCCTCACTGTGACAACCAAAAATCTCTCCAGACATTGCAAATGTCCCCTGGGGTGGAGGTAGGGAGGTAAAATCGCTCCTGGTTGAGAATCACCGGTTTAAGATGAAGGCACAGCTCCTCTCAGTGAGAGATGGCTTAAAACGACCTTAACTCAGGGCCAGCCCAGGCCCAAGCAAAATCGTGGGGCTAATTCAATGTCCCTGCTGCAGACCTGAAATTTGTCCCTCTGCAGCACTTCTTACCATGGTGGATTTTCCTTGTCCAGGTCCTCTGGCCACTCTGCGCTCCTGGCAGCCAGGGAGAAAAACAATGAATGCATGTGCCAGAGCCTCCATGCCCACCTCCGGTGCATACGGCTCTCTGGGGCAGCCCCAGCCCCATGGGCGCAGGATTGGTGGGTAGAGGGGCCTCCCTACAGGGAGAGAGTAGGAAACACCAGGTCCGCCTGGCTGGCAGCTGCAGCCCTGCGTGAGGGCACGAGGCTGGCACGATGCCCCATGGAGTGGATTCCAGCCCCACTCGCCCCCATCTTGCCTGGCACCTATGGGCATTACATAAAGTACAGCCCCAACTATCTGCCTAATTGTACGAGGCACGGTTTGCCATTGTCCCTCATCTTCTCTCTTCACGTCACTGAAGGACAGAAGCCCAGAGAGGCGAAGAGAGAGACTACAGCAGCACAGCTGTTAGGTCTGTATGAGTTTCCTCTTGCTGCTGTAACAAATGAACACAAACACGGTGGCTGAAAACAAGCCAAACCCATTATCTTACAATTCTGGAGGTTAGACGTCCACAGTGGGTCTCACTGAGTTGAAATCAGGCATCCGTAGGGCTGCACTCCCTACACGGGCTCCAGAGGACAATCTGTTTCCTTGCCCTTCCCAGCCTCTGGAGGATGCCACATTGTTTGGCTCCTGGTCCCTTCCCCATCTTCAAAGCCAGTGGTCCAGCATCTGCAGACCTCTCTGTGACCCCGACTCTTCTGCCTCTCTTACAAGGACTGTTGAAATTGCTCTGGGCCCAACTCAGGATCATCTCGAGAACCTTCCTTGATCACACCTGCAGAGCTCCTTTTGCCATCTAAGGTGACATGCTCACAGATTCTGGGGAGGAGGACATGGACATCTTCCGCCTCCCGCATGGGCAAAGCCGATACGTGGCTCAGGTTTGCAACGCCACGTCCTGTGCGTCTTGCTGGAATCGCACAGAGGGAAGTAACTCGTGCACAGGATTGCACAGAAGAGTTGGCATTTCAGATTTTCGGGCAGGGGCCTTCTGGATGCCCCTCCTTGAATCACTCCAATATGACCAGAAATAAATATAAGATCCTTCTTGCCAGACAGAGGCTGAAACCCATAGATATCTCCGAAGGCCGTGCGTTGGTCGTTAAACGATGGTCGCCGGCCAAGAAGGCCTTCAAGGCGCACCACAGTCTAGATGGGCTTGCAAGGAACCCCCACTGAGTGACGCGTCAAATGACGTGGTTTCATTCAACTGAGGCTGTGTCCGCTGAAGGAGGGAGGAACCCTTGACTGAGTCACCTGGACAGTTCAACAAATGCTCTTCCGGCACCTATCATGGGCCAGCCACTGGACAGGGGCACAGGGCACCAGAGAGAAGTAGGACACAGCCTCCGGCCTCAGGACTTGGGGGCAGGAATGGTTGCTGTCACCACTTGCACTTCATAAAGGAAGAAACAGACATTGATCACAAGGGCAAGAGTGGCAGAGTCAGAATCAGACGCAGATCTGCCTAACCCTACGATCCTACTCGTAACTGCTCCACTGTTTGCAATTCCGGGGGACCCGTTCTACAAATCTGCAGGTGGGCTGTGCTTCCCCCGATGTAGGACCAATGACACCTCTCCTGGGGAAGGTTGGGAGAGGGTTTGTCGGGGAGATAATGACAATAGCTCACACACGCGGTGGACGTGCACCCCAGACCCTGAGCTCTGGGAGCTACGTATATCATTAACACACAGCCCCCCGCCCCCAACACCCTGAAAAGATAGGAAGTCACACGCCTAAGTCACATAGCCAGCAAGGGGGGTGGGGAGCTGGAACTCCGAAGCCACCTCTTCTCCCTCTTCTCAGTATCAGAAAGGCGTCTAGGAAGGGTCTAATGCAGAATTGGAAGTTCACCTGTGGGCTCTGCAGAGGCTCAGAAGTTCCAGGCTGCTGGGCGGCTGGAAAGGAGTGGAGCAACTCACACATTAGGGCACTCGCAGGTCACCAACGGCTCTTTGTGACCAAGACCTCAGCAAGAAGCCATCTACTGGCACCTGGACCAACCTGGCCAGGATCTTGTCCATTAGGAAGTCCATAAACGTAAGGCCGGTACACAGTTCTCTGGCTGCTTCCAGAGCTCTGCAGAAACAGTTGCCACTGGTTTCAAAGTCGCCTCGGCCAGGCGGGTCAATGACTCTGGTCCATTTTAAGGAGGAGCTCTGTGAAGAAGAGACATCCGGGATGCCAACGGGGGTCTGGAAAACAACCAGCCCCCAACCCCTGTCCCGCTGGGCTCCCAAGTAAGCCCAAGATAGGCCGGTGGGAACCACTTCTCAGACACTGAGCTTCTCCTGCAAGACAAAGGCTACAGAGAGGGAAAGGGTTTTAGGTGCTGTCTGCAGAAACCCTTTGGCCACCCACAGCTCTCCTGGCCTACCAAGTATGCATGCAGTGTCCTAGTCTGTATTTAACTAAGCCATCCCTCTGGTGGAGGAGGGCGAATTTTATCCAAGTCCTGTAAGCAAAGCACCAGCCGCTGCACCTGCTGTCTTCGCTGACAGACACCACCGCGATGTTCGGGAATCACCTTTGATCCCGGCTGCCCACGTTTCCAGAAGAGAATCTCATCACATGCCTTCGCGCACCTGGGCAGCGTGGCCTCCGGTGTCCTGAGTCCCATAAACAGCACACGCTACGCGGGGCGAGGACGGGTGTTCACGGCTCTGGCGCTTTTTGTTGCGTGGATTCACAGAATTCAAAATCTCATTTGCTTGTCTCACCTTGAACCAGTAAAAAATAGTCTCAGATGCTTCTACGTTTCCATCTCCTTTAAGTTCTGCCCAAAGATGAGCTGCTGGGCTGGGCTGCAGGGTTTGGGAGGGTTCCATGCAAGAGAGAGACAGGGAGAGGTGGGGAGAAGGCTATTAGACCTGCCCATCCTCATCTAAGCCCTTTGTCCTCCCCTCTCCCCAAGCCCCAGTTCAGAAAGCTGCAGCCCAATCAGCTTCCCCAGCCAGCCTGGAGCTTTCCTCCCTAGCAATCTGCTTTCCACAAAAAAAAAAAAAAAAGTGTTCTAAATAGAGCGGAACTGAGCAGGGGGCCGCAGCCCGGATGAAGCCCTCCCCTCCCTGGAGAGCCGGGCGTCCCACACGGAGGCCAGTCCATTCCCCGTGCCTCTCACTCAAAGCGCTGTGGCCCCGGGAGTAGCCAGCCCTGACGCAGGCACAAAGCAGCACAAGTGGATTTTGCTTCTCCAGCACTTTGCCTGGCTGGATCCTGCCCCCGCCCCCTCCCTCCCAGGCGTCCGGTGCCTTCTCTGGCCTCCTCTCCCTGCATCTGGCTTTGGAGGCAACCAAGGGATTCCATTCCAGACGGGGACCCCAAGCCCCGCTGCAGTCAAAGCTCACTGTTAACCTGCTGAGTGAGCTTGGGGGGTCCAATCAACCCCCCTGAACCCCAGTGTTCCTGAGACTGAGGTCTGAGAACAAGCACCACAATCTCTGTCACTGAATTACTACTGTTGGGTCACAGTTTTTATTAAGTTGGAGTTTCCTGTTGCCCTTGAGGGGGGGTGAGCTCCAGGCTTGGGGTGGACCCTTAGACATTCCCCCTCGATGCTGGAAAAGTCTGCCCAAGGTTCATCCTTACCAGGTGCAGAGCCAGCAGTGCCTTCCTGGATCCAGGCAGGGCACACGCGTGGTTCTGTGCATTTGCTCATTACCACGCACATCCAGAATCATTCTGCTGCCGGGCAGGTTCTGTGGATGAGGTTCTCACACCCTCTGGAATAAGCATCACCCCTTCAGCCCTCAGAGGACATGACTCCCAAAGCGGACAGGGACTGGCTTCTCTGGCCAACTCCTAACTCAGGTTCCAAGCCCAGGTCAGGTGACACGGTGACAGCTCTGGACCACCTGCAGAAGGCTGTAGGGGTGACAACGTGGAAGGGCAGAGGTGGGCGGGGGCACTCATAGGGCAGCTGTGACAGTGCAGCCGACCCCACCCTCCACCCCAAGCCACTTCCTGGGGCCTCCACTGAAATCGCAAGTGAAATGGAACCGACTCCATGAGCTGTCCATGAGTCAACTCCACCCTGCTCTCCACGGCCTCCCTGAACTCAGGACCTCCAAGAATATCAATCCATCCAACCGGGCAGAGGCAGGGAATTTAGAAAGTGGAGTTAACTTAAAACAGAAAGTGAGAATTAACAAGGCTCATCCCCAGCAGTATGGGGGGAGGTTCCTCCCTCCCCATCCCGACACAGCAGGAAAATAATAGCAGGGAAGGAGGGCATCGATCGACCGATCGATCGATGGATTGATTGGAAGGACAGTTTACAATAAGCAAGTAGGGCCCCTTGAGGACTCAATGCATTTATAAACAAAAATAACACTTGCTCAAAGGGTGGCTTTTTTTCATTTTGTTTTTTTTTTCCCTCAGCCACATGTCTTTATGAGCTAGGAGAACGTCAGCTCCCTTCCAATCCCCTCTGTTCAAGTCTTAGAGAGAAAAAAAAAATTAAATTGCTGAAACAAGGTATTTTTTTCCCCTCTGGATGAACTGTTTTACAATACACTACCTGCTGGGGTCAGGAAACGTGAGATAGATCAGTGGCTTTCTGTTCACACAAAAACTCATGAGGGGGAGTCACACTGAAGAGCCCTTGCAAAGAGACCGTCCCCCCCACCCCCACCAACCCCTTTGGACCTGCTCCAGCTTTTGTTGGAAGCCATGGCTCTCCTCCGCTTCCCCTCCTTCCCTCCCTGGTTCTCACTCAACCAGGGCCCCAGCAATCCTGGAAGGGAGCAGCCTCCCCCTCCGCCACCCCCTGCTGCAACCTTGCTCCCTCCCCACCCTTGGGGGGAGATAGAAGGTGAAGGGGTGGGGGGGAGAAGACTCAGGGGTGCGGAGGAAGGAGCTGCTCCCTGTGCCCTGATGGGAAAAACGTATCTTCTTTACTGTTAGGTGCATGATGCGCAAAGAAGGGACGATCCAAATCAAAATAAATAGCGAGCGGAAACAGGCGGCCCCTCCCTGGGAAGGGTAATTGGGCAGGATGAAAGTTTATCCAAACACAGGAGAAAAAATGGCTCACGGTGGAGGACGGACAGGGCAAGGAACGTTCCTTACTGGAAAGGAAATTTGTTTATGACATTTTATTTGCTTCTTATTTTTTAATGCTCTTCTGGCCCCGTGTCCTGTAAACACACCAGCTTTTCCATTCCCTCGTGGTGCCAGGAGAGACGAAGGCAGGGCCGGTGCCAGAGTCCCAGCCGGCCGCTGAGCCCGCGTGGGAGCCCACGCCCAGGCCGGGGGGTCCGGGGGGGACCCGCTGGTCTCAGTGTGCCGGGAAGGGTGTGCTTTGAACTCTGGGTTTGGGAACAGGGAGAAGGCGGTCTGGGCCGACAGATTCTGGAGAGAACCCCGTCTTTGGGAGAAGCAGCTTGGCCGGCGTTGCAGTCAGGTGTGGTGCCCAGAACATCCAGAAGGCCCCGTGGGCCCGTGTCTGCAGCCCAGCTCCGTCCCAAGCCCGACAGAAACACCCCAGCCAGGGTGTCAGCGACGCCACCTCGCAGTGGGCCAGAGTCGGGTTCACGGCGAAGTCTCCCCGTCTCCTCCGGGCGCAGAGACCGTCTGAGCCAGCGTGAGGCAGAAAGGCCCACATGGCTCCGTGTTCAGAGCCCGGAGAGAGCCCAGATGCCACACGGATGGAGTGCCACGCTCCTGGCACTGTCCTAAGTGCTGCACCTGCAATAGCTCCGTCAGAGCTTGCAACAGCCCCAGGGGGCAGTTTAAGGGAGAGGATGTTGGTTTCATGCCTTAGGTTCAAGTCTGGATAGAGCTGGAGCCCAATTTACCTAGCGAAGCATCACAAGGATGAAAAAACAAGCACCACAGGTACTCATCATCCAATGGGTGCTAACTGATCAACATGTGCACATATGGAGTCACATCTATCAGGGGTCGGGCAGGTGGTGGGGGAGGAGGGGACGGGTATATTCCCACCGAATGGGTGCGGCGTGCGCTGTCCAGGATGGGCACGCTTGTAGTTGCAACTCTGGCGGTACAAATGCGATGATATACATGCAAACTAAACGTTTGTACCCCTGTAACATTTTGAAATAAAATAAAGGAAAGAATTTTGAGGCAGGGCCGAGTCACTCGCTCGAGGTCGTGCTGCTGGAGGTCATGACACAAAGAAGGTCTGGCCGAGGCAGTTCAGGCAGGGGCTTTGCCCTTCTCCATTACGCTCTCCTGCCAGGAGTCCTGAAGTTTCTATCCTTGGCAGAAGAGCTCCAAACCTTCACACCAGGCCTGTGACAATGGGTGCCCGGAAGGCCAGCACCCATGGGCCTCAGTGGCCCAAGCTGCACCAGAGTAGCACCAGAGGGGCTTTGGCTCATGTGGCAAAAACTGCTAGAGCTCCTCAACATTCCTGTTCTCTGTCCCTCCCTCCGCAGAGCTGGACACTTCCCAGCTCTCTGGCATCCAGGTGGAGCCTGTGACTAACCCCTGACGATGGAGCAGAAGTGGCAGGTGTCCCTTCCAGGACTCGGCAGTCAAACACGAGCATGTCCTATCATGGCACTCTCTCCGCTTGTTGGCAAACAGGATGCCCCCAAAGCCGGTGGTGTCCCAAGACAGAAGGAGCCTGGTCCCTACGTTTCCATAGGAAAAAGAGCCTTCTGCGCCCACCACTGCCACCTCTCCTTCAACTGACATGTAAATAAGACAAACTCATTAGGTGGCAGGACTGGGCTTCGGGGGTGTTTTGTTACAGCAGCCTGCCAGGACTGATACGGTGATGGCTGGAACATGAGAACGGTGACACTGAACTAAGCCACAGGGGCCTTATACGTGTGCTCTGTGGCAAGTCACCTACTCTCCCTCGGCCCTGGTTTCCTCATCTACAAAAACGAGGTCTCAGCACCCTCTCAGAGAATCATCATGGGATCCCAAAGAGAAGCTTTGCAAAGAGCTTTAATGTTGCAAAGCCTCATAGCATCGTTGGGCCTCATCATCCCCTGAGCTGCCTGCTTTTTCTTGGCTGAATCTCCTATCGTTCCCTCATGTCTGAATTGACTCATAGTGACCGTGGCCACAGGTGCCATCCTCCTTGTTTGCATAAGAATGAAGTGAGCTTTCAGTGCCTCTCTTCCCAAGAAGAGGTGAAGCTTCTGCCTTCCTTTGTATCCTCCTCTACCTTCCTTTATTGCGCTTACTGGTCCCATGGAAGGAATAATCAGAGAGCAACCAGGGACAGCCTCCTCCTCCCTCCCAGGGCCTGCTTACTTTTGGTCCCCAGGTGATGAGCCCTGAACCCAGATCCAGACCCCATGGCAAGGGATCTGCCCCTTCATATCCAACTTCTCTGCTCGAAAAGTTAGATACTAACAGTTGGATCCCCTTTGCTTTTTCCGTAGATCTCCCTATCAGAGTGAAACTCTTTGGATATTAATGGGCAGGTCCTATTTTGTTTGGTTTTTTTGGTATTTCTCCCTATTAGGATGAAATTCTTTAGGAATATTGGTCTAAACTTTTGAATGGATATTTCTCTTTCCCACCTTAAAACTGAACCCCGCTCACAGATAAAACAGCAAGAACCAGGCACATGGTATTTTAAAGAAGAGTTTCTGCAAGGAAAACAACCAATCAAGCAACAAACAAAATATCTCCGCTGTTCAGAAAACACTTTATTGATTAATCGTGGGCAAAGAAAAAACAGGCAAATTTGGCGGTACACACAGTAACAGGCTGTTAACAGAAAAAAGTCAACTCAACCTCTTTCTTCTACATCTGCCATGCAAAAGCCACCATGCTGCAACTTTGCGAGCTCTGAACTTGCAATTTGCCCATGACCTTGGTTTTGAACCCCAACTCTCACATAAAAGACTTGGTCAAAGCAAGTGATCCCTGTAAGTCTGTTTTCTGATGATTAAATGAGGGAGTCGATGAAATGCTATCACAGTGGCGGCCATGTGATCCTGAGCTAACGTTATCGGGCATTTCAGGGATAGATTTCAATGCGTAAGGAATGTCCCAGTTCCTGCTCCTATTAGGGGGAGAGAGTGTGTGAGAGTTGGTAGGGAAAGAAAGGGGCCCCCCCAACAAGTTCATTATAAGTACAGTCCATGAGATACTAAAGTGTTCAAGAAAGGAAGGGTCAGCAATAATGGAAATGAAAAGGGTCAGCATTTTTTGAGTACCTGTAAGATGCCAGATGCATTACAAGAACATGCTAGGGGGAGCTCACGACTGGTTGAGATGGCTGGGGAAATCCAGGAAGGCTTCTGAGCGGTGGGGGCATTTGAGATGAGCCCTGAAGGACTGGCAGGATTCCAGCAGCCTAGGTGCCCAACACCTATTCTTCATAAAAATAGACTCTTCCATGAAGAATGGCCAAAGAATTAAAAATCATGCTGAATTAAAAAAAAAAAATCATTATTGGAATGTGCGCAGAACTTTCCTAAGTAAGCAGTTCCAGAACATTCCCAACTCTTGGCTACATGAGTAGTGGTCAGGGAACCATAATGTCCCAGGTAGACTAGCATGTGGGACCCTCCAAGGACAGAGGCCAGGGGCAGACCTGCGAAAGGACGTTTAGGGTCTGACACTGGGCAGTGCGCCCTGCTATACTGACCCCACCAGTGGTGACAGTGGTGGCAACAGCCATGAGACCCGAGCACCCAAGAACTGCAGTGCTTTCAAATAGCCCGGCCTGCACTGCAGATGTCGAAAATGACGGTAAACAATGTTCCCTCTGGATTAGCTTCACTGCAGCTCCTACTTGGAAACCGAATACACTGGGTGTCTGCCCGGCCCCTCGGGTCCCAATATTTCACTCTACGGAGAGGGACATGCCCCGGTCAGGCCCTAATGAGCACGCACAGCCCCACCTTGAACTGTTCTCTCCAGGCTGAAAT